GGTAAACATTTGTCTGATAAATTTCCTATCGAGAATGGTTTCAAACAAGGAGATGCTTTATCGCCACTCCTTTTCAACTTTGCCTTAGAATATGCAATTAGGAAGGTCCAGGGAAGCCAGGTGGGACTAAAACTAAACGGGACACACCAGCTGTTGGTCTACGCCGATGATGTAAATCTACTGGGTGATAATGTAGATACCATACAGAAAAACACACAAACTTTAATTGATGCAAGTAAAGAGGTTGATCTAGAAGTAAACACAGAGAAAACTAAGTATATGTTACTGTCTCATCACCAAAATGCAGGGCAAAATCATGACATAAAGATAGGAAACAGATGTTTTGAAAATGTGGCACAGTTCAGATATTTGGGAACAACGATAACAGATCGAAACCTGATTCAGGAAGAAATTAAGAGGCGACTGAACTCGGGTAATGGTTGCTACCATTCAGTCCAGTACCTTTTTTTTGTCTTCTCGTCTGTTGTCCAAAAACATAAAAATGAGAATATACAGAACTATAATTTTGCTTGTGGTTCTGTATGGGTGTGAAACTTAGTCTCTGACATTAAGGGAGGAACATAGACTGAGGGTGTTTGAGAACAGGGTGTTGAGGAGAATATTTGGACCAAAGAGAGATGAAATCACAGGAGGTTGGAGAAAACTGCATAATGAGCTTCATAACTTGTACTCTTCTCCAAGTATAATTAGAATGATCAAGTCAAGAAGGATGAGGTGGGCAGGTCATGTAGCACGAATGGGGGAGACGAGGAATGCGTATAGGATATTGGTGGGAAATCCAGAAGGAAGGAGACCACAGGGAAGACCAAGGGGTAGGTGGGTGGACAATATTAGACTGGATCTTAGAGAGATAGGATGGGATGGAATGGATTGGATAGATCTGGCTCAGGATATGGACCAGTGAAGGGCTCATGTGAACACCAAAATGAACCTTCGGGTTCCATAAAATGCTGGGAAATTCTAGAGTAGCTGCAGAATTGGCGGCTCCTCAACTCCATGAGTAAGTAAGTAATATTAAAACAGAATTGTATTGGACTTAATGAAATTTAATTCCTAAATGCAGTGAAAATTTGATATTACAAAATAACTATGTAGCAAGAATTGTACTGCAATGCATGATTATTTCATGTAACAGAACATTTTTTATGCCATAAGGCCCATTCCCACTATATGTAAGGACACCAACAGGAAACAAGACTATCAGCAGGCTTATAAAATATTCTAAAATGTATTTCAGTGAGTATTTACAACCTACATCTCTGACATGGGCCACTGCCAACAGGCACTGAACAACAAAGTTTGGAGGAGTGTTCTAACACCTGTCAATCACATAGATAGACCTTTAGGTGTTATAGAACTGTAATGGTCTGATGTGTGCAGGTCAGTGTGAGTCCTTAATCAAACTGTTAGTCCTCTGATGGTCTCTTTCCTGTCAGCCTCATTGTATATGCTGAAAACAGGCATGGAATAGGTAAATTAATATTTTTTTGTAGTTAATTGCTTAGCAATGCTTCCACTGGGGCTGCTGTTATTATTGTTTTCTTTTCATTTTCTCGACTGAGTTGTTGTTATTAAATTTTCACAACTGACTGCTTTTAGTAACCAGTCTTAGCACATTACTGCAATATTAAGAAAGCGAAATGAGACATACAGGAAGAACATGAAATACTGTATGCACAGATAAACAATTCCCAGAAACATGGGTGATGGAGTTGTTATAGTTAATAATTACACCTTAATCTCAAAACTAAAGGCTGATGCCTAGATTTTCCAGAAATTTCTTTCGTTGATCAAACACAGTATTGAATTTTGCTGGCTATAAATATAAATGAGCGTCTCTACCTTTTCAACAGTCTTTTCTGACCTAAGTCTTCAAAGCTCATTGTTTTACAACCTGGCAGTAGCAGTAAAAGTGTCAAAGACTTTGAAAGTGAAAATATGGTACTCTTATTTTTAGCACTGGGGGGGGGGCATGAACACAGAATTTTAAGATATATAAGTAACACTCTTAAAGCTGTTAACACAGTTCCATTAATATTCAGATGACTATAAATTATTTGGAAAAATATACTGAATTATGCATGATGAATTTAAAGGTAGAATTAAACAATATGTACTGAAGTGAAACTTTTATGGGCTTTAGTATACTATTTATTGGTCATAGTTAATGTAACACCTTTGTCAGTATTCAAAAAGTGAGATATGAAAAGTATATAATAGAATAAAACAAGATCCAAAAGTTTGTGACAATGGTATATTAATACAATTATTTAGTTTCTGGACATTATCCACTGTCCTGATTTTTTATTTAAAACACAACGTTCAGGAGACTGGATTATGTCTGTCTTCACATAAAAGCCTATTCAGTTTGGCCCAATCGAGCTAGTCCTTATCTCCAGGACTAGATCTATTGATTTGGTCCCATTGAGTAGGCTTTTACCTGAAGACAGAGACAGACTCCAGTACCTGAAACAAAGTGTTTTAAATACAATATAGGGTAGATACTGTCCAAAAGTCAATAATTGTAGAATAAAAGAAGGATAACAAAAACCCTCTGTGTAAACCAAACTCTTCTTTTCTGCTTACATTACAGCATATTTTTCCTTTCATTTTTGTTTACATTTGTGCACAAGAAGAGCAAGAGGTAAAGTGACATGGTTAAGATTTGGCAGCTTCCTGCTGCTGGCTCTGCTGCTGTAGATTGCCTAACTGTGCCTGAAGCTTAAGTTGTATCTTCTGTCCCACAACTGTGAACAGATTGCATTAATGTAATTATACAAAACAAAGACAATCAGAACAATTCAGTCTCACTGACACATTACTATTCAAAGGACTGCACAATAAATGATTTTCATTCTTAAGGAAAAATAACAGCCATATGAGATTACCATACTATCTATGTGTATGTTCCCTTTCACCACTTGAACCAACTGACCAATTTTCACGAAATCTTGTTTGAATGATGCTCCACTAAAGACAAGTCTCATTCATTTCATACTAACATTGAAAATGAACTTCTATGGTGGTTGTGGTTCAATTATAGACAAAAACTTAGGTTTAAACTCTTTCACACCATGCACAATGTTTTGAAGAAACTTTATTGTTAATGCATGACTTGACAAACTCTAGGTAAAAGATCACATCTCTTTATAGACTGTACTCCAAATATTACTATCCATCTGGTCACTGTAAATTTAGTCATGGCATCTACTTATCTTGAAACTTGTGGTACTTGCAACAGAGTCAAGGACAACTGTATACAACTGTACACAGAGCTCACGGTGAGGTTTCTAGAAAGGGCTCAAGGATGCAATTAGGATTATGGAAGAGGTGCATAGGGATGTAAATATCATTATAAGATGTAAACTAAGTAATTTTAAGAACCCTCATATACAGTGACTGATAAATCAGAAAACCTACAAAAAATGCACATATACCTTTACTTAGTTCATTCTTCTCCATAGACAGTTGCATAACCTTCTCAATGTGCTCCTCAACAACACTGACTTTACGCTTAAAATAATCTTTGGCTCCATTAATGTCCTGAAACACAAACATTGTAATATTGTTACAGTACTCGTATATCGTTTTTCTATATCCATCAACACAACAAACAACTCACTTAATTGATCCCTAAGTTAAGTGGAGCATGCTACGCAGTTAGAAGCATGTTTCATGTCAGCAATACTGAGACTCTCAAATTGATTTATTTTGCCTATTTTCATTCTGTAATGAAGTACGGAATAATTTTTTGGGGTAACTCATCTTACAGCCAGAAGATATTCATCTTACAAAAGAAAATTGTTAGAATAATGGCTGGTGTTAAACCAAGAGAATCATGTAAAAATATCTTCAAGAGGCTAGAGATCTTAACTCTCCCATGTGAATACATATTCTCCTTAATGATCTTCATTGTAAAAAACCAAGAATTTTTTCCAACCAATTCTACAATACACAATGTCAACACAAGGAATAAAAATCAGCTTCACAGACCAGTTGCCAGCCTCTCTTGTTTCCAGAAGAGTGCATATTATACTGGCATTAAAATCTTCAACAATCTACCACCAAATATCACAACTCTTATAGATAAACAGGGACAATTTAAAGTAGCACTAAAGAGATACTTAATTACACACTCCTTTTACTCTGTTGAGGAATTTATGCTTTCAAACAACATAAAGTGTATGTAATGTTTTCTCTTGTTTGGAACACAGGAAAAAAAAAATCTAGTATATGTTAATGTATGGCTTTATGATGGATATTTTACTACTTTTGTGAAATCCTTACTATTTATGTGAAATTGAATTGTGCATGTATATATGTATTGTATGATTTTTGACAAATTCCACATCCGGTAGGTCATCTGACTAACTCATGGATCTATGGAATGCTATGTATGTATGTATGTATGTATTAAGTGAGTTTATTTAACTTAAGGTACAGCTAGCTACACTAGGCTACTCAGTCGACACAAATGTGGAAGTGAGTCATTTATTTGGTGGTTGTGTTCATAGATATACAAAAACAATATACTGATACACAAAACAGGATGCATTCCCTGAAGATTGGTACAATAAGTTATAAGGGTCTCTTGCAAGAAATGGCTAACAAGAATATGTATCCTGTTCTGATGATGTGCACTCTCCCTCACGATGTCATCCCCTTGATCTATCTCCACTTCTGAACTGTTCTCACATATTATTTATTTACAGTTTATTTACTGACATTGTGCATAGCTCAGATTATACAGTCAATTGGTAGGATTAGTGAATGAGAACTGAAAAGGACGTGGAAGTGTTGTGGCTTAATCTGAGGTACTATCCTAGCATTTGCCTGAAGGAACTGAGGCCAACCACAACAAATCCATAAGGATGATTGGTCTGCAAACCAGGATTTCACCATACATGAAACAGGAAAGCTACCAATTTGACTCTGACACTCTGTTTCTCACAAGTTGTCTTCAATATTAATGGTGACTTTGTAGGACAAATGTCACAATGTTCCCACTACCTTTCTCACTTTACATTTTGTTTACTTGGCTGTGTATTTGTCTGTTTATTTTACAGTAATCCTGCCTTTTGTCTCTTTAAGCAAATATACTGTATTTTATGTACTCCAGTACTGTGTTCACTTTAATTTTGGAATTAAAAGGATGCAGTTAAGTTGGAGCTGTTTTCATAGTGGAGGGAGGAGGGGGGGGAGTTAGAAAGTTATGTGGGTTGAACATTGAAATATGAATACCTCCAATAATTTTTTTTTAATTCGCTTAGTGGGGGTGGAGTCCAACTGGGTCCACTCGGCATGGCGGCCACTGATTAGCCTACTGTAGCCTGCCCCAGGTGATTATGATGATGGAGAATTTGGTGGAATGAAGATTGGCAGGTGAAACCAAAGTACTCGGAGAAAACCTGCCCCAGCGCCACTTTGTCCACCACAAATCCCACTTGACCAGACCCTGAATCGAACCCGGGCTACCGCGGTGGGAAGCCAGCAACTAACCACTTGAGCTATGGCGCAGCCAATACCTCCAATAAGTTGTTGTTTTGTTGGCTCATGGGGCAGCTGAAGTTTGCCATGCATACAGTGGTTTATTAGTACAACTTTTATAGGGAAATATGCATGGAAATACAGAATCCAAGCATAACAGGCTGTTTAGAATATTTAGTAAAAAGTGTCAAATCCCATTCTCCACGCTTGTTCTTTATACAAGGCTAGTGTAAAAATGGGAACTGCAGTACAGTGGAACTTTCCGATTAGCCATGGTAATGTATGAAAGTAGTACTGTGGATAATTAAAAACAAAGAATACAAGAATCTGGAAATACTAGTCATACTGCATTCAACCCTGACTACAACTTAATTATTAATTTGAAATAGTTCTTCAACCTATGTTTTTTCCAGTAGTTTTCCTAATGTTCTGGAATTTCATTTCACTTGTACTGATTATACAAAATGCTGAACACTTACAAAAAATGGTGATCCACTTAAAAGTAGTCTGCTATGAAATTTTGTTTCTTTGTTCCTTCTAATCTTAGCCTGTGTAATACTAGTACAAAGAAGTGCTTACTTTAGTTTGTAGAGCTAAACCAATAAACCCTTAATCCATTCAAGGCAGATACACTGCTGATTTGCTTTTCCAGAAACATTCAGTTTCATACTTACTGTCTTCAATAAGACTGCCTGTCCTGTGCCCTTCTAACAATTTCAACACCTCTTCATAACCTGAGTGAATACAGTCAAAACATCAGACCATTCTATGATTTTTCACTCACCATTTCATAGCCTTGTGTTTTGCAAAATGGCAGCTAACTCATCAGCTGAAAGTCATTCTTCTCAAACCCTATGCTGTCATCAATTTTTTGATCTACAAGAATTTTCTTCCAAGATTTGCTAGTGGCAGTTGGCTTTACAACATTGCAGGCTTATGATACCTCATATATGGCACCTAACAAAGCCAGCTTCCTCTGAAACACTTTCAGATCACTACCTTCCTCAACATGTTTCTGTGGAAGCCTTCTCCCTGTAGTCTTTTCACTGTGCAATTATTCCTACATTGGTTGGCTGAATCACAGCAAACACATCAGATGAAAGATAGTTCACAAATATCATAATTACTGTCATCTGATTGCAGGATATTTTCACTTGGGTGATTTGGTGCATTATTTAACGAAAATATAGCCCTTTCTGGCAAGCTGTTCAATCATGAATACTCATGCACCCATGGCACAAAGTTGTGGTTGAACCACATTTTAAAAATGGAACAACCCATCCATACCCCTTTCTCATTAATGTCACATGCATATATAGGAGCTGGACATAATAATGGAAAAACTAAGATATTGCGGAAAAGAATTTGTGTTGTAGTACTCATGTCAGTGCATTAGTGATTGTACTGAGTGACAGTCCACATGAAAGAAATGGGAAAATGGGACACTTGCCCGATTTTGAACGAGGGCAGGTCATTGGTGCACATTTAGATGCAGCATCTGTTTTATTAGTTGTGTCAACAGCAAAAGTTTCTAATGTTATGTCGACATACAAGAATAATGGGAAGACAATATCAGAGCAGAGGAACATCGGCTGAAAATTAACACTGACAGAAAGAGATCATCATACACTGAGTAGGATTGTTTAAAAAAATCACAGATGACAGAAGAACTGAATAGTCATCTAAAAGACCCCTTTTCCAAAAAAAAAAAAACTGTCTGATGTGAACTTCACAAATCCAACATCCATGGTAGGGATGCAACTGCTAAGCCTCTAATTACCGAAAGTAATGCTCAGATATGTAAATGATGGTGTCATGATCATAAAAACTGGACATCAGACAACTGGAAATGTACGTCATATTGTCAGATAAGTCATATTTCATGCTATTCCCTACATCAGGAAGTGTTTATGTTTGGAGAACACCCAAGAAGGCCTACAATTGGAATACCATGTTCCAAAAGTTAAACATGGGAGGTTATGTGGTTTGTCCAGCAATATCATGATACAGTATTCTGTTGGTCCCATTATTACCCTTTATGGCCAAATTACTGCATGGGAGTACGTGGACAAGTTGGGTAATCAGGTGCATCCCATAATTCAGACGTTATTTCCAAACAACAATGCAGTTTTCCAAGATAACAATGCCCCCATTCACACAGCTGGAACTGTTCAGTCATGGTTTGAAGAGCATGAAGGTGAACTTCAACATCTTCCCTGGCCAGCACAATCACAAGATTTGAAAATCATTGAAGAACTCTGGTCAGGTTTGAGACTGAAGTGAGGAACAGATTGCTACCTCGAACATCTCTAAAACAATGTATGATTCATTTCCAGTTCATGTTCCTTGTTGTACAACAATCTCCCAAATATTGTCACTGCATGAATCACATTAAGCAGCATGGGGGAGCACTGAAATCCCCTTCCCTTCTTAATGCACAAAGAACATTTTATTTGTTATACAAAGATTATTCCAGCAACTGGGGTCCCTTGTGCTCTTGCTTTTGGAATCATTCTA